TGCTCCGTGGTTGACGAGAACAGTTCGTGACCACTGCGTCGCCACGGTTCTGGGGCCGGGGTTGGGGTGTCTTGGGTGTTTCCTCCCCCCTCTTCTGTTCTGATCTAGAGGGGCGGCTTGCCCCTCCGACTGTCTCGCTCAAGCGACACAAGGCGTTCAGGGGTTCGACGATGACGAGGCTACAGGCAGTGGATGCGACAGGCGACCTTTTGTATTTTTTTCCCCTTCCGGTGCGAGAGGGGTCCTCGGATCTGGTGGTGGGAGGGCTGTACGGGCGGAGCACGATGAGGGATGACGGCGAGGAGGAGGAGGAGGGACAATCGTCGTCAGTTGGATTCCAGACGGGGCAACGTCGTCACTGTAAAGGCCGTGCCTGGAGGACCCAGGCGGAACAAATGTTTATGAAGAGCGAGGCGCGCCCCCGTTGTTTGCAAGGTGCCCCAGCTTGTCAGGTCCCGTGCAGAGGCGACCAGGAGGCCCAGGAGGTAGCGCGAATGTAGCCTGGCGGCGACTGGGCGGACGACTACCTCCCCCTTTCAGATGCCGCATCCCAGCCGCACCCCTGCAGGTTCCCTTCCCATTGTGGGGAGGTGCCTCGACACGTTCACGGCCGAGACGGCAGCCATTGGTCCTGTGAGCCCCCTGTAGGCCCCCTCTCCCCCTCCCCTGTGGACATGGCCAGAGAGGTGCATAGTGGCACTATGGAGACGCTGGCGGCAGGGCCGCTCCCCGCGATAATCTCTGTTGAGTGCAGCGGCCATACCTGCGCTGTTTGCCCTTGTTGCACTAACAGCAGCCATCTTGGCAAGCTTGGGCACTGATAGACCAAGGTCGTGGCGCTTTGCTGATCTGGGCAGCTCGATTGGCCATCGCGGGGCAACAGTACCAGCATAAACAACCTCACCGACTTGCTCTTGATCACGTCTTGCGCTCCCGCTCTCCAGATAGATTGGGTTCATAGCTTTTTGAATCGGATCAATCGACGAATTCAGGACGAGGCACCGACCGTCGGCCTCTAGCCCTCGACTGCGGACCGTGCGACCGTGCGACGCATCCGAATGACGGCCGCAGAGTTTATTGCCCCTGAAGTCCCAATGAGCCGGAGGCGTCGTGTTGAGGTTAGTCGAGCGTCTTAATGAGGTAGTGTGGGTAGACGCGTCGAAAACGGCACTTGTCTCTCTCTCTCTCTCGCTCTCTCTTACCGAGTCTCTTGCAGTCGCTAGCGTCCTCTTCCGATGATGCTCCGACTCAAAGATAAGGACTTGCTTATCGCGCTTCCAGTTCCCTCCCACCGAAACTCACCGAGAAGTCATGATTTACATCTCACTGCATGTGCATGTGAATGGGGTCTTCGGGTCTTTTCTCCAGAGGGTCACGAGGGCTACGTCGCTGCCGTGAAATCACCAACTGCAATATACCCATGGTGCTTTGTTCTGACTGCATTATCGCTGGCGACCGACATCACTCTTTCAACCACAGGCATCACGCCCATCCCCACAAGGCATCCTGAGATGACACCTGGCATGGGCGGCTCAAACTGACGAATTTCTCTCCTCTCACCAAGACAACCTGTGCTGCCGGCTTACACACGCAACATGGCTCTCGTCAACCTCATCACCTCCACGGCCCTGGTCACAATTTTCATGACCCTGGGCATTTTTTTCTACGCGCCTCACCTTGTTGGCTTCATACCCACACGCTACGTCCCTGCAGCCGATGCCAGGGACGACCACATCCAGGTCCTCGTCCTCGGTGACGTTGGAAGGAGTCCACGGATGCAATACCATGCCCTCAGTGTCGTTAAAAATGGAGGGCGAGTTGACCTAGTCGGCTACAACGAGTCACCTCTTCACCCACAACTCGTCGATCATGACCGGGCGACCCTCTATCCTTTGCCCGAGCTCCCGGTTTTCTTGAAGAAAAAAAAAGCAAGCTCCCCCTTTCTAGGCCCTCTCAAAGTCATCTGGGAGGGGTGTGCCACCTTTTATGTCATGGCCCAACAGGCTCCTTGCGAGCCGCTTGAACATCATCCAAAAACCGCCCTCCATCCCGACCCTCCACCTGGCCCTCATCATCTCCGTCCTTCGAGGCAGCCACCTTCTCGTGGACTGGCACAATTACGGGTGGTCCATCCTGGCCACGACCCGCGGCCGCTCCAACCGCTTCGTACAGACCTACCTCGAATACGAGTCCTTCTTCGGCCGCATCACGCCAACGGCCAACCTCACCGTCACCGACGCCATGGCCCGCCAGCTCCGCAAACCTCCTTACAGCTTCGAGAAGCCCATATTCACTCTACACGACCGCCCCGCCGACATCTTCCAGCCCATCCTCGACGCCACAACCCGTAGGAAGACCCTCGCCCGGGTCCTGGCCGCCGCCTCCGTCGCCGACGCCACGACCTTGGCGCCCCTGGTCGACGGCATCCTGCGCGGCGACATTCGCCTCATCGTCAGCAGCACCTCCTGGACCCCCGACGAAGACTTCAACCTCCTCCTCTCGGCCCTCGTCGCCTATGCCGAGGGCGACCGCGCCGAGACGCGGCCCCTGCTCGCCATCATCACGGGCAAAGGCCCGCAAAAGGCCGCGTACGAGGATAAGATTCTGCGGCTCACGAGCGACGGGCGCCTCAGCGGCATCCAGATCAAGACGGCGTTCCTGACTATCGAGGACTACGCTGCGCTTCTTGCTGTCGCCGATCTCGGCGTCTGCCTGCACATGTCGAGCTCGGGCGTCGACCTGCCGATGAAGGTCGTCGACATGTTTGGCGCCGGCCTGCCTGTCGCGGCGTATTCTGACTATGAGAGCTTTGGCGAGCTGATCAAAGAGGGGGAGAACGGGTGTGGATTCGAGACGGCCGAGGATCTCGAGGCGGTGCTGAGACGGCTTCTCAGCGATGAAGGCAGAGACGAGCTCGCCTTCTTGAAGAGGGGGGCTGTGGAGGAGGGCCGGTTGCGGTGGGACACGGAGTGGGATCGAGTCGTTGGGAGGGTTGTCGGTCTGGTCGACCCTTGAGCTGTGTCGCTGTATTGCTGTATTTTCGTACAACATCCGACTACGTAAACTTTCATGGCAGTCAAGATACTGCTTCGTCCCATGCGTTCGTTTCTTGTGCAGAGAATGGTTATTAAAGATGCGTAGAA